AAAAAAAAAAAAAAAAAAAAATCCCTAACCCAGCCAGGTGGTGGTGACACACACCTTTAATTCCAGCACTTAGGAGGCAAAGGCAGGTGGATCTCTATGACGTTGAGGACAGCCTGGTCTACAGATCGAGTTCCAGGAAAGTCAGGGCTTCACAGAAAAACCTTGTCTCAAAAAACAAACAACCAAAATCCCTAACCCTGTGAGATAATGAATTCCTATTCTGGAGAAACATTGTCTATAACTTTTTTTCTCTGAAGTTAATCGCACAGAATTCTGCATTTAAATCTTGACCTTTTGTATGATAGTGAGAGCAATTAGTTATGTTTATGTAACTTAACCTTCTGTTTAGATCGCAGGTGAGAAGAAGTCGGCCCAGTGGCGAACTGTGGAGGGTGCATTGAAGGAACGAAGAAAGGCAGTTGATGAAGCTGCTGATGCCCTTCTCAAAGCCAAGTAATTACTCATGGACTTTAGCAAGTGATTAGGGCCTCCCGGTGACTGTCTTTGGGCTGGACTTGCTCTGTGTGATCTTTTACAAAAGAAGAGGCAGAGAAACCATTCCCTCACTTCTCCACCAGAGTGTGCTCTGAACTGGCCTCAGGAACAGGAAGACTTAACAGAATACATCCTATGAAGCATAACTAAGCTAAAATAAAATAAGTAGAAATGTTTATGAAGGAGCACATATAAGTGTCAGGTTTGTTGGGGGCTGGAGAGGTGGCTCAGTGGTCAAGAGCACTGGCTACTCTTCCAGAGGACCTGGGTTTAATTCCCATCACCCACATGGCAGCTCAAGATTGTAACTTTAGTTTCAGGGGTTCTGACACACTCACACAGACATATATGTAGACAAAACATCAATGCAGATTAAAAAAAAAATACATAAAAGTCAGATTTGCATTGGATTGTTGCTTAGATTTTATGTGTCTATTCAGTTGCCATGGTTCTGTTCTAATTTATAGATTTTAGTGGGATGATCAGTACAGTTTTATCAGAATTCAGAATATTTATCATAACAATTTGCTGGACCTACAAAAAGAGTTAATTTATTGAGCTATATGCTACCTTGACCTTTCTTCCCACAAATGGGCTAAAGCTAGTCTCTTAGTTTGGTTTCTGTTGCTATGGTAAAGACCCTGACCGAAAGCAGCTTGGGGAGGAAAGGGCTTATTTGTCTCACACATCTCAATCAGCAGTCCATCATTGACGGAAGTCAGAGCAGGAACTCAAGGAAGAAACTGAAGCAGAGGCAATGGAGGAACTTGCTTATTGCTTGCTCCTCATGGCTGGCTCAGCCTGGTTTCTTACGTACCCCAGGACCACCTGCCCAGGGATTGCACTACCCACAGTGGCCTGGGCTCTTCCATATCAATCATCAATCCAAAAAATGCTTCCCAGTCTGCTGGAGACGGATTTTCAGTTGAGGTTCTCTCTTAGATGACTCTAGCTTGGGCCAGGTTGACAACAAGCTAACCCAGCTCAGGTAAAGCACAGCAACTGATACAAGTCTTTGTTAAGTCTGTTATAAAGCCTGAATCTCATGCACCATGGCCTTGGGCTATTTCTATGTTATATTTTCATCAAAACTCTGAAGTTGGTAAGAATTCTACTGAACCCTACTATTTTTGTCTTTTTTTGCCCTCAGAGAAGAGTTAGAGAAGATGAAAAGTGTAATTGAAGATGCAAAGAAAAGAGAGGTGGCCGGGGCCAAACCTCATATAACTGCTGCAGAGGGAAAACTTCACACCCTGATAGTTGACCTGGATAATGTGGTCAAAAAGGTAGTTTCTGAAGTCTTCATAATATCTTATATTTTAAAGTATCTTAAAGCATTTCTAAGAATTCAGGAAAATAATAAGATTCCTACTATCTCCGTGATTTTTTTCATTGTAAATGTACTTATTGTAAAAAGGAAAAAAATAATAGTGGCAACTTATTCTCAAGTATGTGTGGGAGGATTGGTAGCAACATACGGGCACTTGCCTCTAAGTGCAGTGATCTGAATTGGGTTTTTGGGGTTCATTTAATGGAAGGAAAGAACAGATTCCCACAAGTTGTCAACTGACTTCTACTCACATCCTGTGATGCATGAATACCCACATATGCATAGGCATAATGCATGCTTTCACAAAAGAAATAAAAATACAAAGAAAGCCAGGCATGGTTGTGGACGCCTTTAATGCCAGCACTCAGGAGGCAGGTATATGGATCTGTGTGAGTTCGAGGCCAGCCTACTACCGAGGAGAACAGCTAGAGCTGTTAAACAGAGAAGTCCTATCTCAAAAATAGAAAGCAAAAAAAGGTAAACCAGAAGACAGGTGTAATTTCTGTTCTCTGATCTTCAGAGTTCTGTATTTGTTTGTAGCCTCCAGTCAGACTGGTTTCTCAGACTGTAGGTGGTGCTTTTTGTTCCGTTTAGCCAGAGGTCCCTTGTGTCTGCCTAGGTCCAGGCTGCGCAGTCAGAGGCTAAGGTGGTGTCTCAGTATCATGAACTTGTGGTCCAAGCCAGGGAAGACTTTAGAAAAGAGCTGGACAGTATCACTCCAGACATCACTTCTGGATGGAAAGGGATGAGTAAGTACAACTGATTTCCATTTTCTGTCTGATTTTAGCATCTAATCAACTAATCTAAACCTGCTTCAACTCCACGCTTTCAAGCTCAGTGCTTCTGGAAAGTCTCAATTGGTGTATTGTTTATCTCTGCCACGGCCGTAGCACATAGAACACTGCCATTACTCCTGTAGTTTTAGTCATGGTGAACTAGTGTCTAATTCTGTATGAGTTAAGATTCGTTTCTAATTTGCTACTCAGAGGTTAAAAATAGGATCCAAGTGAGGTAGAGTAATGTTTTAACATTAACTCTGTTAAGATATGTATGTATGTATGTATGTATGCTTATTCAAGTCATATGGTACTTAAAAAGTCTTTGGAATGGATTAATTAAGGCACACGAGAATTCTGTTAGCAACCCCAATTCTTCAAGCCTGTTCTCAAGATGTTACTCTGCTGTTTAAGCCTCCCCAGTGCTAGGGATTACAGGCATTCACTGCTGTGCCTAGGTGGAAAATTTATTCTTCTGAGATTATGAATTGAGGAATGGTTGATGCCTAAGGGCAGGGGAGTTAGCTAGAAGGTGGTTACATTTGCCAGGTGTGGTTGTGTGTACCTTCAGTCCCAGGACTTGGGAGGCAGAAGCTCATCTGGTCTACTTAATGAGTTCCAGGACAGCCAGGGCTACATAATGGGACCTTGTCTCAAAACCATAAAGTTAAGGTGCCATCGTCATCTGAGGGTGAACGGATATGGCCACCTATTGTGTGTACCAGGAACGTTGACATGACTAGGAAGATGCTATTGGTAGTTGTGTAGTAACTCACTTGTTGAACTGTGATGTACAGTGTAGTGGACTGGAAGATGTATATCCTCCTAACCCAGCATTTTAGCTCCTGTGTATTTGCTGAAGAAAACTCAGAGCAGTGCATTGAAGCACTGTTGTAAGAGCACAGAATTTGAGAGCTAGGGGTGTGGTTCAGTGGTCGAAGACTCCGAGCATGCAAGAGGCCCTGGGTTGGAGACTCAGCACTAACAAAAGGGCCTAGTATGGTGGCACACGCCTTTAATCCTACCACTTGGGAGGCAGAGACAGGTGGATCTCTGTGAGTTTGAGGTCCAGAGCAACTTAAGTTAGACTCGTACTCAAAAAAAAGGAAGGAAAGAAAAAAAATGTGGTGAGAGGATTAGGCTAGAGTGGTAGCTCAGTGGTAGAGCATTTAGCTAACATGTACAAGCCTTGAGTTTACTCCTCAGCATCAAAAAGAATTCAAAAGAAAGAAAGAGAAAACAGACAAATGTGCCTTATGTGTACTGGGATTGTATCCCAGTGAGCTGGGATTGTATCTCTCCAAAGTCTGGGCGGTATCGGCACATGTTGCCAAACCTGGTCACCTGGGTTCTATCCCCACGACCCAAATGGAGAAGTGAATATCAGTTCCTAAAAGTTGTTCTCTGATCTCCACACAGTTGCCATGGCACATCCCAACCCAAATAAATAAATAGATGTAATACTTTTTTAAAAAAAATATTAAAAACTAAAAATATAGAATAGGAGAGCACTAACATGAAGGTTATATCTTTATGTCAAGTATAAAAAAAGTGCTTGGGAGCCGGGCGGTGGTGGCGCACGCCTTTAATCCCAGCACTCGGGAGGCAGAGCCAGGCGGATCTCTGTGAGTTCGAGGCCAGCCTGGGCTACCAAGTGAGCTCCAGGAAAGGCGCAAAGCTATGCAGAGAAACCCTGTCTCGAAAAACCAAAAAAAAAAAAAAAAAAGTGCTTGGGGTCCCTATAGATGGATCAGCGGTTAAGAGTACTTTCTGCTCTTGCAGATACCCAGGTTTGGTTCCTAGCACACACATAGTAGCTCACACGTGTAACTTCAGTTGCAGGGGATCTGATGCTCTCTTCTGGCCTCTGCTGGCACCTGCATTCACGTAGTGCCCATAAACACTCATGAAAGCACACATATATCATACCTAAAAATAGACAGTATTTTTGAAAAGTATTTGGGACTGATAAAATCCAAATCAAGAGTCCATAAGCATATCTTTTTTATTGCTTGTAGACTTACAGCCCACACTGCTGTGTTCATGTGCCCTGTTACAGTCATCTCTTACATTGTTCTGCTTATGGACTATAGCCCACACTGCTGTATTCGTGTGCCCTGTTAAAATCATCTCTTAGATCAGGTGGTGGGCGCACACCTTTAATCCCAGCACTCGGAAGGCAGAGGCAGGTGGATCTCTGAGTTTGAGGCCAGCCTGGTCTACAGAGTGAGTTCCAGGAAAGGTGCAAAGGTACACAGAGAAACCCTGTCTCGAAAAACCAAAAAAAGAAAAAAGAAAAAAAAATCATCTCCTACATTGTCTCAAATTGGTCAGTTTTTCCTTTGACACAGAAACAGATCCTTTTAATGAGAAATCCTTATCTTTGAATTTAAAGCCAGTGGTCCTTAGCGAGCTTCATACTAGACACAGGCCTGGTTGTGCAGGCCTATAATCCCATGTATTTGAGGAGGCTGAGGCAAGAGGATTGCAGATTCCTGGGCTACAGGGTGAGTTTAAGACCAACTTAAGTAACTTAGGTCTGTCTCAACGTAAGGCTAAACTTTGGTTGTAGGAATAGCTTAGTGGTAGAGTGCTTGTCTAGTGTGCTTGAGGGCCTGGGATTTAGGTCCAGAGTTGCCAAGGGGAAAAAGAGAGAGAGAGCCAGTTGCTGAGGCTGGCAGCTGAGACCTCTTGTCACTGGTTCTGGAGAGTTTGTGATCATGATGAGGAGCATCATTTAAACTTCAGCAGTCATGGTTCTTGGGTTAATTTGCATAGGTTAAATGTAAATTTAATGTGAAGTTCCCTGTGAAGTCTTTCTAAGAACCTGCTATAATGCAGCTCTCGAGAAAAAGCAGAAAGGTAACAGGATCTGCGAAGACCGTCTCCAAGTTCCCCTGAAGAAAGCATTAATTCTCAGGCCTGGGATGGAGACACACTCTGTAAATGTATTTCTGACATTTGAAATAATAACAAAAATGAAAGAAAATTGTGTCCTCCAGGAAAATTGTTAGTTGATTTGCTGTGCTGAAACAGTGACAAATCCCTCCTAACTAGAACAACTTTTAATGTCAGCGGTTCTCTCGTTCTTTAAAATACTACATCGTACCTTGACGTATGTTGTCTCTGACTCTCTGTAAATATAGAAAATAAGCATTTTGCTTTCCAGTAATCTCTTTTCTTGATTCTTCTGGATTTTGCTATTTAATGATCGCTAACCAAAGTGTGCACCTTCTTTTTTTCAAACTATTCTTCTCTTTCTTTGTAGGTATTTCTGACCTAGGTGAGTAATTATGTTTATTTTATGTTTAATGGCATTTGAGTATACGATAATTCCTAATTGTACATTTTTGGCATCCATAGATGAATAGGAACAACTGTGTTAAATGATTGTAAGGCTGTAAATGTGAGCTACCTTTATGTATACACACAATATGGTCTCTGTTTTACTTATGATTTCAAAGAAGATCAAACATTGAAAAGTAAGAAAAAATACAGATAAAATCCCATGGTTTCTCCTGAGTTCATCAGTTATCAGATCCAGTTTTGTCTCATCTGTTTATAGCCTTCATGTCAAAGCAGATTCCAAATACATCTTTTCCTTGTAAATACTTTGTGTTTTTAAAAAGATAATCGGGCTGAAGGCGGTGGCGCATGCCTTTAATCTCAGCACTCGGGAGGCAGAGCCAGGCGGATCTCTGTGAGTTCAAGGCCAGCCTGGCCTACAGAGCCAGGACAGGCACCAAAACTACACGAAGAAACCCTGTCTCGAAATACCACCCCCCCCCCCCGCCAAAAAAAAAAAGCATAATCAGAATACCATTATTATGCTTAAGGTTTAATAATTCTCTAGTGCTGTTAAACATGCAGTGCCTTTCTATTTACGGAATTGTTGCTGGGCAGTGATGGCACACTCTCTAACTATATAACTGTTACATAACTCTCTATGTAGCCCTGGCTGTCCTGGAACTCGCTCAGTAGACCAGGCTGGCCTCTTAACTCACAGAGATCCACCTGGCTCTGCCTCCTCACTGCTGGGATTAAAGGCATGCACCACCATTGCCTGGCTAAGAATTTTTACTTACAATATTTTATCAACACCAGAATTTAGAGATAGATGCTCCCTACATTGAAATTATCTAGGGGGTCTCAGTGCTTGCTTTTTTGCTTTTCAACTTGCATTTTGATGAATCAATCACTTACCATAAGAATTGCCCCATATTTTGTTTTTTATGGCAGGAGACTTTATTCCTCACCTTTAGTAAATGTTGGAATACTTGTGAAATTACCTCCCCCCAAACAACAAATCACACTGCTTGAGTGTGTGCTTAACTGATCTTCTGACATGAATATCAGAAAAGATCACAGGTGATCGATCCTCTTGGGCATTATTGGTCCCAGATTACTGTTGTAGGGAGTGTGCAGTCAAGGAAAGGGACGGGCAGCTGGAGAGAGAGCTCACTGGCTAAGAGCACAGGTTGCTCTTGCAGAGACCCACACAGAGGTTTACAGCTATCTGTAAGTCCAGTTTCAGGCACACATGTGATACACAGATATACACACAGGCAAAACACCCATACACAGAAAATAAAAATTAAAAAAAAAAAATCCAAGAAACAAAGCCAAGACTCCTTAGTTTTAGCAGAAAGTAGTTCTTTTACTTTAAAATTTTTTAAATTATTTTATGTCTTTGAGTGTGTTCATCTACAGGTGTGTCTGTACCATAGGCATGCCCTGGTACCTATGGAGGCCAGAGGAAGGTCTCCACTTTGCCTAGAACTGGAGTTATATATGGTTATGAACCTGATGTGGCTGCTGGGAATCAAACCCAGTTCCTATGAAAGAGCAGCCAGTGTTCTTAACCTCTGTGCCATCTCTCCAGCCCTGCAGACTACTTCTTTACACTTAGTTACTTGTGTGTGTGTGTGTGGGGGGGGGGGGGTGGTCAGAGGAGAACTGTGGGGTTGGTTTCCTTCTGAGGATTTGTTAGGGCTAGCATAGTTCTGCATAAAATGCCGTGTAATGATGATTGTATCTACAAGCTTTGTTTGTAGAAGTGAAGTTATAGCAAGTTAGAGTGCCCGTATAGGGGAAGTTCAGATCACAGACACGATTGGGTTTCTGGAAAAGAGCTGTGTGTGCTGCCTTGGGACCCACCTAGTTATTATTTTGCTTGGAACTGACCAAGCTTTAGTTGCTGGACACTAGCTCTTAATCTCTAGTGTTGGCGACTTTCTGCCTTACAATTTCTGTGACGTCATTAACATTTTGATGTTACCTGTCTAGCTGACAAGCTCTCTGTCGATGACCTGAACTCGCTGATTGCTCACGCCCATCGTCGCATCGATCAGCTCAACAGAGAGCTAGCACAGCAGAAAGCCACGGAGAAGCAGCACATCGAGCTAGCCCTGGAAAGGCAAAAGCTAGAAGAAAAGCGGGCCTTTGATTCTGCAGTGGCAAAAGCATTGGAGCGCCACAGGGGTGAAATACAGGCTGAGCAGGACAGAAAGGTAGCGGAGAAGAGAGCAACCTGCCATTTACAGTTAACCTGACTTGTTTCCAGAGATCACTGTGGCCGTCCCAGCTGTAGTAGATGTAATTCATGCCAAGCCATCGTTAAAGTGGCATTTAGGCCTTTTTTTCCCCTCTGAATCAGAATTTCTAAGATAGGCTTGATCTAGTTGACTTCCTTTCTGCTGAGCAGATACCGAAGTGTAAGTGATCAGGCGCTGGGATGCAGGGTCTCTGTTTCCTCCTGTGCAGCCTCTTGTCCTCTAACACCATGCTGAAAGAATCTCTCTTGAACTCGCAGTCTGTTCTTGCCAGTGATGTTAGTGGGGATGCTTGTTCTAAGGGGAATAAACAGCTCCATTTGCCGTCCTTTTTGGCTGTATTATGTATCAAATCTGGTATCCGGAGACTCATTTAGGTACTGTCCACCCCATCCTAACAGCTCTCACATTCCGTCTGCATCCGTAGTAAATTCCAAACCTGTTTGCTTTTGTTTTCTGCCTTAGTCTAGGTTATCATCTTAACAGTTTTCTCGGGGTGTTATGGCGTAGCCCTGCTGGCTTAGAATTATAGCGGTCCCCTGTACCTTTATTTGTTTGTTTCCAATAGGATCTTGTTATGTAGCCACAGCTGATAGGAACTCATGGCTGTAGACTTGCCTTATCCCAAATTTCTGGTTTACAGTATGAGCCCAAAAGTTCAAATTCTTAAACACCCCCCAAAGACTCTTAATTACATACTTGCCTCTTGAAAGCCCATTCGTTTGCCTGGATATTGTTTGTTTTTTGTTTTCTCTATGCACTATGTCTTTTTCACTGGGACCTTTGTGCTGTGTGCTCCCATCATCTGGCTCTTCCCTTATACCGTGGTGCTACACGTCAGTGTCACTGTCTCAGCCATGCCCCTCCAGTCCCTTCAATTTCCAACAGCTCCTGTGGATCGCTTTCTGCCCTATTGCTGTTTACAGGGGAAGTGGGCAGAGGAGGTTGGGTGGGAGTTAAGGCTTTACAGCAGGCCTCCTACTCCTATTCATTCTTGTAAACAGGTATTCCAATCTCAAATGTGTTCCTGTGTGTGCACTGTCTGAGCATTCATGGATCCAGGCAGACACGGCCTGTGAGGCCCAGGGCTGGTCTGAAATGTTCACACACTGCCTGCCAGGATTCACTGACTCACTATGCTAACTCCAAGAAAAGATGAGTTCATGTTCACAGCAATTTGTATTGATGTGTAGTAGAACACATGGCTAACTGTTAAGCAGGATGGAGCATTTCCTAACTTGTTTTGATTTGGCCCATGTTGAGCCTAAATTCACGTGAAAGTAAGCTGCTGGCAGTTTCTTTGTTTAAAAGAAGTTAGTAACTGCTGGGTACTAATTTTTGAAATGATTTTTCAAAGTTGGCACTGTCACCACGGAGAAGGTGGAAACATGAACATAGGCAGTTATGACTAAACTGTGTTGGAACCCAGCTTGAATTTGGTTTCTTTCCTCTAAGTTCTGGACTGAGTTACTTTCTGTGGACTGTATGGTTCAGCAAAGAATGGCGTTTGTTTCTGTGTCAGGGCCCACTTGGCAGTGCACAAAGCTTGACGCCAGAGACCCATGTTTGAAAGATGATTTTTGGTGTAGTTACGTGACCTTGTTTGACATGCTTTTAGATGTTCAGCTTTGTGGCTCATGTTAAAAGTTGGATAACTGTATACTTATGCCTGGCACATTAAGTGGGTTCACGTCAAAATGGCTGTCATTATCCTACTAACTGATCTTTCCCTTTTCCTAAATGTACATACGGCACGTTGAGAACTAACCATCACTGGGTTTGGTTGCTCAGGTAGAGGAAGTCAGAGATGCCATGGAGAATGAAATGAGGACCCAGCTTCGACGACAGGCAGCTGCCCACACCGATCATTTACGAGATGTCCTCAAGGTGCAAGAACAAGAGCTCAAGTATGAATTTGAGCAGGTAAGGACCTGTGCTGAGGCTTCAACCCTTTCCTCCCCATCTCCACTTGCACTGTTACGAGCTCTCCTTCCCTTTCTTTTCATTTGTGGGTAGCAACTGGGCATGGAGCCCAGGACCTTACATGCTAAAGGCATGTTCTGTACAGCTGCACCATACTCTCTGCCTTTCTCCTTTAAGTGTACTCTGAGGTTAAGAAGAAGATTCAACCAAGCAGTGGTGCACGCCTTTAATCCCAGTACTCGGGAGGCAGAGGCAGGAGGATCTCTGTGAGTTCAAGACAGCCAAGTCTACAAAATGAGTTCCAGGATGGACAGGGCTGTTACAGAGAGAAACCCTGTCTCAGAAAACCAAAAAAGAAATAATAATAATAATAATAATAATAATAATAATAATAATAATAATAATAATAGATTGCCAGTGTTACCTAGCTTTGGTGGAATGTAGTTTTTGTTAGTTAATCTGAACAACCAATTTTTCATACATCAGGTATGCTGGTTTGTGATCAGATATGTTGACTTGATATGTTTGGGTGGCAGTATAAAAATTTCTCATTTTTAAAAGATTTATTTTTATTTATTTTATTTTCTGTATATGAATGTTTACTGAATGTATGGATGTGTACCATGTTCTTCCCTAGTGCCTACAGAGTCTAGAAGAAGGCATCTGATCCCTGGAACTGGAGTCACAGATGTTTATGAGCCACGGTGTGAGTGCTCTAGGAAGTGCTCCTACCTGCTGAGCCATTTCTCCAGCCTCGCTCCAGATTTCTGTTTGAGGAGGCAGTCAAAAGGCTTAACTAAAAGCTCCTCTTTTGCTGTCTGCTTCTTATATGTCCTATCAGAAAAAAAAGAAAGAAAAAAGCATGATCCAGAGCTAACCATGGTAGTGCACACCTTCAATCACAGCTCTTGGGAGGCAGAGGAGGGTTGAGTTTGAGGCCAGCCTGGTCTACATAGTGAGTTCCAGGACAGCCAGAACTACACTGAGAAACCTTGTCTTGAAAGACCAACATGAGTCAGTAAAAGTTTGAAACCTTATTTACTTTTATTTTTTTATGTGCAGTACTGTTTTGCCATGGGTGTCAGGTCCCCTGTACTGGAGCTACAAACACTTATGAGCTGCCATGTGGATGCTGGGAATTGAACCTGGGTCCTCTGGAAGAGCAGTCAGTGCTCTTAACTGCTGAGCCATCTCTCCAGCCCCCGTTTGAAACCTTATGTAGAACATTGCAGCTGATTTTTGTTTGTTTGTTTGAAGAGGTATCTTATGAGTTGTGTGTGTGTCAGTGTGCCACATGAGTACCTGGTGCTTGAGGATATGAGAAGGCATTGGATCCCTTGGAACTGGAGTTAGGAATGTAAGTGGCATTGTGGGTGCTGGGAATTGAACATGGGTCCTCTGCAAGAACAGAGGTTCTTTACACAGAGCCATCTCTCCAGCCCCTTAGAAGCAGCTATTTGGAAGGTCTATCTATCTATCTATCTATCTATCTATCTATCTATCTATCTATCTATCTATCTATCTATCTATCTATCTATCTATTTTATATTTACCTTAGACTGCTTCTCTCTATGTAGCCCTGGCTGGTCTGGAATTTGTTATGTAGACCAGACTGGCTGGAACTCACTTACTTCTGCCTTCCAGGTGCTAGAATTAAAGGTGTGTCACCACCCCGGCTATGTGTTTGAGATTTTTAAAAGCTTTTTTTTTTTTAACCTCAAAGTTTGTAGTTTCTGGCAGACAAGAATCTAGTTTAAGTGGCAAGCATAGCGGTAGCATTAATTGTCTGTACACATCTGCGTTTTATTTCAGGGCATGTCTGAGAAACTGTCTGAGCAGGAATTAGAGTTCCGTCGTCGCAGTCAAGAACAAGTTGACAACTTTACTCTAGACATCAACACAGCCTATGCCAGGCTGAGAGGAATTGAGCAGGCTGTTCAGAGTGAGTTTCCTTTCATATACTCAGTCCTACCCTGTACAGTTTCTCAGGATAATTTCTTAAGAGAATAATAGGGGGCATGTATCCACTCCACCATATGATACTTGTTTCTTGGATTTGACAAGTTTAAACAGACTTCTGAGAAGAAATTGGAAAAAGGATCTAAAAGTTATATTGAAATAACATATATGACACAGATTTTCATATATTTCATATATTTCACAGATTTTATACCATTTTCAAGGTATTTTCCCTCTTATACTGTAGGGTTATCTGGAGGGGTGGTTTACTGTTGTGATGGTAGTTATGATGAGGCCTGTGTGCCACATGAAAGTGATACATCTTCACCTCAAGCACAGTCATAAAGTGGGCTTCTTAGGATGTCCTAGAATCCTCTGTCATCTGGCAATAAAAGTAAGCACAACACTTAGGGAATGTCATAGTCGAGTTCATTAAGTTTTTTTGTTAAAATACTTTAAAATTAGTTTGTTTTTATGTATGTGAGTATGTTGCTTGCATGTACACCACATGTGAGCCCAAGGAAGCCAGAAGAGGGTGTAGGATCCCCTGGGACTAGAGTCACAGACAGTCTTGAACCACTGTGTGGGTGCTAGGAACCGAACCTGGCCATCTGGAAGGAAGAGCAGCCAGTGCTCTTTATCACTGAGTCATCTCTCTAACTCCTAGTTCATTAAGTTTTTTTTTTGGAATCTTTGTGTTTCTTGAAATTCTTGGCCTAAGGCTGGGCATTGGTGTCGCAAGCCTTTAATCCCAGCGCTTGGGAAGGAGGCACAGGCAGGTGGATCTCTCTGAGTTCAAGGCCATCCTGGTCTACAGAGCAAGTTCCAGGACAGCCAGTGCTACACAGAGGAATCCTGTCATTTGACTGCCCCGCCCCCAAACCTCCAGATATAGTGCCATATGCCTTTAATTCCAGCACTCAGTTAGCAGAGACAGGCAGATCTTTGTGAGTTCAAGAACAGCCTGGTCTGCATAGAGAGTTAACAAATAGCCAGGGCTACATCCTCTGACCAAAAAAAGATCTTTTGCCAATATGAGTGACTTTGGCCTCCTCTTTGGAAAGGCCCCTTTGTCCTGGATCACAGGAGGATGGGAACTTGGCTGTGCTGTGCTGTGCACTCGCATCCTCCCAGGATTTTCAGTGTCAGTAGATAGGTCCTCAGCAAGCTGTCCTCTCTTGCTGCCTGTGAAAGGACTAGCTTTGGCTTGTTAACTTGTGGATGTATATTATTGAAGGTACATCTGGGAGGTGTGTATGAGGAAGACAGAAAAGCGTCTTTTTTGCTTTTTTTGGTTTGTTTTTTGTAGGTCATGCAGTTGCTGAAGAAGAAGCCAGAAAAGCCCACCAGCTCTGGCTTTCAGTGGAGGCATTAAAGTACAGCATGAAGACTTCATCTGCAGAGATGCCTACCATCCCACTGGGGAGTGCAGTTGAGGCCATCCGAGTCAGCTGTTCCGATAATGAATTTACCCAGGCTTTAACTGCAGCCATTCCTCCAGAATCCCTGACCCGGGGGGTATACAGTGAAGAAACCCTAAGAGCCCGTTTCTATGCTGTTCAAAAGCTAGCCCGAAGGGTAGCGATGATTGACGAAACCAGAAATAGCCTGTACCAATACTTTCTTTCCTACTTGCAGTCCCTACTCCTGTTCCCGCCTAAGCAGCTGAAGCCACCGCCAGAGCTCTACCCTGAGGATATAAACACATTTAAATTGCTCTCATATGCCTCCTACTGTATTGAGCATGGTGACCTGGAGCTGGCAGCAAAGTTTGTCAATCAGCTAAAAGGGGAGTCCAGAAGAGTGGCACAGGACTGGCTGAAGGAGGCCCGAATGACCCTAGAAACTAAGCAGATAGTGGAGATCCTGACTGCCTACGCCAGCGCCGTAGGAATAGGAACCACTCAAGTGCAGCAAGAGTAAGGCCTAGGAAGAGTTGTGTAATGTCATATTTCATGTCAAAGAAAATCAGCATTGGTATCTGCAGGGTTTGCAACAAGGGTCCCAGAATTGTCTAGAAGTGAGCAGGGTCTAAGTCCTGTGCAAGATGTCCACACCTGTTGCATTTACCATCCTGACACTGCTATCATGCCAATGAACTCCAGGAGGCTCTATTTGCAGCTTGTGTAACACTTCTGTTTTTCAGGTTTTACTGATCAGGCTTGTGAGCCACTCAAAATAATGTTTGTGATCCTACTATTGATTCTGCCCTTGGAGCAAACTGAATAAAGCAACACAGTGAAAACCGAGTATTCTATCCCTTTTCAAAAGTGCCATTTCCAGTTTGGTGTGTGAGCAGAGAGCTTCCATGAGAAGCAGCCAGTGGTAGGAACTTGTGGCCACAGTTTCAAGCCTGTGACCTGGGTAACCTGACGTCCAAGGCCTGCTGCTTTGGCTTTGAATGTCTGAGTGAATGGATCTCCTCCTGATGGTCAAAATCAAGAGTGATATAGAAGCCACATGCCAGTATTTATAGTTGGGGATCTAGCACTCAGTGATTGAAAACACAGGAAGTAGTCTGCATCCCGAGCTGTTCTGATAGCCTCCCACAGGAAGAGTTGTGTTCCTGGGACCCAGCACACACGCATCTGTACTCTGCTCACCAATCCTGCTGTGCTGCTGTTTCCCAGGACCTGGGCTGCAGAGCTTCAGTAGATGGAGGATATGAACCTGGAATCTGAATCCATCCAGACTGCCAGTGAATTCTGAGTTTGGCACAATTGCCATAGTGAAGAAACATTAAATTCTTACTTTTTGACTTAATTCTTAGACCCTAAAGACTACCATCTCTACAAAAAAACCTGCCAGTTTTTTTACTTTATATAGGGGTGTTTGTTTATAAAATTAAGGAGAACTTTTATGCTGAGTGACATACCTACAAAGCACAAGAGTGTTTTCTCTATTATATTTCTAGTTGTACACCTAAAGCCTCTCAAAATGGGTATATTGAGGTCTTTGCACAGCACTGGCCTTGCCCTTTGGTTTGGTATATCCTGGGTCATGTTCAGCCTGAGCTGATAATGCTATTCAAGCGCTATCTGATTGGAGCACCTGCATGTGGATTGCCCTGTTTGAAGGTAGAGGCACTGTGGGCACCTACGTGGAGCTGTAAAGTTTATACTATGAGTTAATGGACCATCTACTTCCCTACTCCTACCTCTAAGAGTAGGATTAAATCTCAAAAGTACAATTATTTGTAAAATGTGTTTGTCATGTAATCTGAGCGTTTCTATTCTAATCACAAGAATATAATAGATTGTAAGGAAATCAGTTTCTCTTGGAACCCTGAAAAGCTTTCTTCACTTGTGACTATGTCAATGTGGTTCATGCCTACAACCAAGTCAGGCCAGACAGGGCTACAAGGATTCTGCCTCAAAAACCCAAGCGGGATTGGGTGGGAGTCAAATGATAGGATTCTTTGAGCTCACCAGAAGCAAGCAACACAATAGCTCATTTTAGCTCTGTATGAAAGTAATGAAGACTGCAGATGGGTTTTTGTGTGTAGGCGTCCTCCACTTGGTTTTTGAGATAGTCTTTACTGGCCTGAAACTCATCGGTAGTCTAGGCTGGCTGACCTGTTTTTCAAGCATGTGTAGTCGTGCCAGACCTTTCTTTCGGGTGGTGGTGGGAGGGTGAGCTCCAGGTTCTGAGACCTGCCTGCAGCAAGCACTTCACAGACTGAGCGATCTTCCCAGCCCAACTTTCACCTAGATAAGGCAGTGGCTTTGACAGAGTGCCCTACCTACCTACCTCCATTATATTTAAAAAAGAACTGCTTAGCCTGTTCTTGCTCATGCCTTGCCCTGGCTAACTGCTTTGAGTTCTCCATTTCAAGGAAATGGAAGCTGCAAGGTGCGGCATGTCAGCTTCATGCATCTCCTTTAAACTGCAAGGGAGCGAATACCACTGCCACTTGGGACTTGAAACAAAGCCAAGTCATCATCTTGGTCCAGTGTTTGATCACCTCACACCTTATCCTGATTGCTCTGAGTGCTCAAACTGGGTGTGGTGGATGCCTGTGACCCTAGCACTATGGGGGTGGCAACAGGAAAACCAGAAGTCCTTAAGGCCAGACCTGATCATTTTTAAAGAAGAAAAAAGCCAATAAGCACCCATGTTTATGCTTCTTAACATCAAAATGCTGGGTTTTGCCTCAATTTCTTTTCGTTTTTTCAAGACAGGGTTTCTCTGTGTAGCCCTGGCTCAGTTTATTTTTTATTTATTTGAGTTCCCAATCTGTCCTGGAATTCTGCTTCAATTTAATTTTATTTATTTGAGCTCCTAAACAGTAATTAAGAGTAGACTCTTAGCAATCTTTAAACACAGTACACTGGGTTAACTTAAATCCTCTGTTCTTTCAACAGGTTCTGGATAAAAGCAGTCTGCCAATCCCAAATGAGTAATCCCACCAGTTTCAGAGTAACTTGCTTGAACTCAGTGCAGAAGAACAGGCCATCTCCATTAATACAAAAGGCAAATAAAAAGGCTTGATTAGTAGGAAGCTTACCCTTACTGGGTTCAGTGGTCTAGGCTTCTTTCAATTTCAGGCATTCTAAGAGGCAGGGTGAAGGTGATGTGGTTTCTCTAAACTTGACAGTTTTGTTTAATGAGTTTTGAGTGTTTTATATAAAGCACTATCCAGTAAAGGGGCCATTGCTGTGAGAATACATCCTACTGGTACAAGGTTGAGGGTGTCCTTAGGAATAAGTGACCTTTACTCTTGGATGCTCAGTCCTGACTCCTTGGAAGAGTCCACAGCTGGGCAGGTCAGGTGTGCAGCACTCCTTAATACGCTTTAATGAGTCGGGCAGGGGTTTTTGTTTTTTCTTTTTGGTTATTCAAGACAGGGTCTCTCTGTGTAGCCCTGGCTGTCCTGGAACTCAGAGATCTGCCTGCCTCTGCAAGTGCTGGGATCGAAGATGTGTGTCACGGCCTGAAAGGTTTTAATTATGTCCTACATGTGACTTTATACCAAATCAGTATACCCTTTTCTCTAGTAAAACTGCGCTTCATCTTTCAAGTCAGCACTGTCATCAACACAGATGATCGGCATTGCCCTGTCCAGGGTCTCTAGCTACAAGGCTGCCAGCACAGTCTTGGTACACATAGCCATGCATGTATGTGATCAGACTTGTAGAGGAAAGGTTTGGATCTTAGCTCATTTTAATAAGAAGTTCTGGTTCTCTTCCCTGAAAAAGGATTTCAGCCCCCAGGGTTTGAAGAAAACTACTTTCCAACAGAAATAACATAAAGGGAAGGAAGGGCACTGCTACAGAAGAGTGGTACATAACCACTGACCGAAGAACTCTGAAAGTATTTCCTTTGAACCCGATGCTCAGTGTAGTGTTTATTACAGCAGCTTTGCCTATCAGGAAAATTTGTTTTCCCAAACAGAGTTTTAAGACCAATGGGGTCTTGGTCAGTGAGGTGACACTTAAGCAAGCATTCAAGTCCATAGTAAGGAACTAGAGAGAAGACCTAAGTCCCAGCACAGCTTGGCTGTGGCTCCAGCTCCAAGGGATCGAGTGCCCTCTTGTGGCATCTGTGGGCACCTCCACGTTTGCATATCGGCAGGTAAATCTTTACCTTAAGATTCCCCCACTCAGAGTGAGTCCTCTCTCATTTGTCTTATTGGTACCAGTTTCACTAGTTCCTGTTACAAGTTGCTCAGGTAGATCCTGTCCTCACATGCTTTGCACTACTGGGGAACTAAGCATGGTCTCATGCATACTAGGCATATCATACCAATGAGCTCTATTTCTAGAGCCTTCAGTCTGCCGCTTTTCATATGCTTGCTTAAGCATCAGAGCTGGTACCTATTTTAAGCAACACACCCACTCTTAATATTCCAAGGCTTCTCAAGCCTCAGTTCTGAGCCAGGTGTGGTAGGTGCCTTTAATCCCAGGATTCTGGATGCCCAAGCATCTGAGTTCAAGGCTAATCCTGGATGCATATTAAGAATGTGTTAAGGGTTGGGTGGTGGCGGTGGCACATGCCTTTATCCCAGCACTCAGGAGGCAGAGCCAGGGGGATCTCTGTGAGTTCCAGAACAGGCTCCAAAGCTACAGAGAAACTGTCTCGAAAAGCCAAAGGGGGCTGGGGGAAGGTGTTAAGGGGGAAAAAAACCCAAAAACCTATCCCTTGATTCTGATGCTAACTGGATGTGAGTTGTAACTCCAAAATTTCTATCCTGTATCATGTTTAAAATGTGAATTGAAACACAAATCTTTCCCATGTAAGCATATGAAAGCAGACAGACCTGGTGTTACACAGCTGTAATTTGAGCACTCAAGATGCTTGAGGCAGGTGGTTTGCCCTTCAAAGCCAGCATAGTATACATAGTGGCAATGTCTATATAAGTCTAAAAATAGACATGTTAAAACAAGGGGTTCCATAATAGCAAAAACCCATTTAGTTTATTGTCATTTAGGAATGTGGTATTAGAGTAATATGGGCATGTAGACAGTGGAATTAGAGATCCATGGCAAACAGGCTACTCAAAAGAGCCAAATACTGAGAAATGGCCAACTTTAGAGTTCTGTAAGAATTTGTACAATCTGATGAACAAGGAATGAGAACCCATGAAATAAAAAGCAGGCATAGCATCAGGACAAAGATGAAATTCAAGGCATAGCTGGATCAGAAAGTAAAAACTAGAGTGGCGGTCAACTTTGGCACAGAAACCTTTGTCTCCATAGAGTTCATGGCACATCTTGGTTCACTGAGGTTTTGCTAAGAAAGGTGAAAGTTTTCTTATCGAGTAGATTTGAAGGTTCGTCACATACTCATGTCAAAGGTTTTCTTTAGCTGGCTTCAAGTCAGTGCTCAAGGCCTGAGTGGGAAGAGGCATACCACAAATGCAAGCAAGGGCGTTGTCACTCACAGGAACAGGACTTAGAGACAATGGACAGAGCTGACAGCCTTCCTGGCAGCCAACTACTCCTAATTTGCCCTCTGTCCTTTACCAAAATTGCTTTGTTGGTAATCAACTGGCACCCTACTCCCCAACCCCACATCACTCCTAGGATGCCTTGTTTTCTAGGTGAGTAAGACAAAGCACCAAGATTTATGAAGACAAGACGGGGCCCTACCCTAGGAATAGACGGTAAAAGTAGATGGGAACACAGACAACAAATAGCACACACATCTGTAACCATCAAAGCTGGAGGGTCAAACTCTTCCTCATAATGCAGAACTCAGTGCCTGAGTTATCGGGAGGGAGTGTATGGGTTGGTGGCGGTAGCACTCG